TCACATGAGGTCAGGAGTTCAAGACCAGCCTGGCCAACATGTAAAACCCCATCTCTGCAAAAATACAAAAATTAGCCAGGCATGGTAGCAGATGCCTGTAATCCCAGCTACTTGGGAAGCTGAGGCAGGAGAATCGCTTGAACCCAGGAGGTGGAGGGTGCTAGTCAGCGAGATCACGCCATTGTACTCCAATCTGGGTAACAAGAACGAAACTCCGTCTCAAAAAAATAATGATAATAATTTTAACTTTGATGCTTCACAAGCACAGTATTAAAAAGCCTTCTAATTTATTTCTGTAATATTACCATTTTCTAAGTGTAATAATGAAAGACCAAGATACTGTAGCTGACCAAGAAGATTAATTACTGTGAAATCATAAGTACTCAAGACTAAGTTGTCTTTAATTAACAGACATTTCAGCAAAAGATAAATCATCTGAAAGACTAATAGTATGAATAGATAGAGGTAGTACAACCACTAGGAAAAAACGTTCAACCTTTTGTTTCTATTGATATGTCCTCAGTATTTAGATCTATACAGTCATTCATGACACTATGGAAACAGCAGATAACAGGAAAAACAATTGAGTACTTAACCAAGGTCATCAGAGCACAAAGTAATTGTCACTCAAGAATGTTGACACAAAACTGAAGAACTCTCAAGTTCCAACAGCATGCAGACAAGTTGAGCCCCTATGCAGTTACTCATGGGAACAGAAGTGGAAGATTAACCTACCCTCACTCTTTTCAAACTAACCTGACAAGGCAGCAGGCAGTCTCTTTGGAGTTTGTTCATCATTGAGCCTGTTCCAGAAGAAACCAATTCCCTTAGGATCTGTGCCTTCACCATACCACTGCTTCACTACAGCCCTGTATCACTTCACCCTGTCCTACCTTATTCTTTCTGGCCATTCTAGTCTATATTAAGTCTCTTTGTATCTTTTTCAGACATTATAAAATTCTTGTTTTCTAAATAAAGTTCTCCTAAACCTTACTCACCTGCAGTTCACTGCACTGGGTATCACCCAAATAGCCCATCAGAGCTCTTTATAATTTCTGAAAGACAAAGAAGAAAGTTTGTTTAATACATAGTAGAAAACACCAAGGTAAGAGTTCCAAAGTATTTGTATCTAATATTCCCAGCATAGTCTTTTGGTCCACAGTAGTTCAATAAAATGTAGTATGACCAGCATTGGACCAAGAGTCTTGAGATAAGCCTCCAAAGATTAAAAAAAAAAAAGCAGCTTGGTTTAATGTTGCTACTTCTGAGCTGTGTGACCTTGAGCAACTCATTTAATTTCTTCAGGCCTAAATTTCCTTATCTGGAAAAGAAGTCACTTAGACTAGCTAGAGAAAGAAGAGCACAGGCTTTCCAGAAAGAACACCAGCTCCACTACTTTACTGGTCTCCTGATGTTACTTTAGTTGAGTCACACTTAAGCCTGAATTTCTTCCTTTGTAAAACGGAAATAACTGTCTTGTGAGTTGTTATAAGAATTAAAGGAGATAATGAGTTACAAAAAGCCAATAGTAAATATACTGTGCAGCTTATCCTAAAATTCAACAGATGGTAATTCATTACCACCATTAACCCCCACCAGCTCTAACATTATATGAGTTCAATTCACACATATTTCTTTAAAAGATAAACAAATCGAAACTACCAACCTGACCAAAAAATTAACTGTTTTTGTGTTTCAAAATTCAATTAGAGTTATCTTAAACTGACGGGAGTTTATCATTACTACTTATCATAGAAAATAAGAAAATAAGAACAGAATAGTCCCTGCACAACATCTAAACTGGTTCAATGACCATGCCTTTTCTGACTTCTCACTCTACTTCCACACTGCCAGAATATCTCAAGAATAGAGAGGTCTTCCAAAAGCTAAATGATACTCGGCTGTTTACCACAGTCAGCTAAGGGGAGCAGGACTAGAGACAGAGGAAGAACAGAGGCTTTTTTTTTTTTTTTAAACTTTTTTACTTTACGAACTTAAGTACTGCTTAAACTTGTTTACCATAAGCATACAGGAGTTTTCATAAAAGTAAACATTTTTTTAAACTATATTGGCCAGGCGCGGTGGCTCAAGCCTATAGTCCCAGCACTTTGGGAGGCCGAGGCGGGTGGATCACGAGGTCAAGAGATCGAGACCATCCTGGTCAACATGGTGAAACCCCGTCTCTACTAAAAAATATGCAAAAAATTAGCTGGGCATGGTGGCGTGTGCCTGTAATCCCAGCTACTCAGGAGGCTGAGGCAGGAGAATTGCCTGAACCGCCAGGAGGCGGAAGTTGCGGTGAGCCGACATCGTGCCATTGCACTCCAGCCTGGGTAACAAGAGCGAAACTCCGTCTCAAAAAATAAATAAATAAATAAATAAATAAATAAATAAACTATATTAGTTAAACAAATAAATAAACTATATTAGTTAAACATATTGCCTACTAACAGGAAGCTCGCATTATAGGACATTTTCATCACAACAAAGAGAATTTCTGCACAAGAATGCCAAAAGGCAAATTCAGATGTTCCAACAACACCTAAAATATGGCACAGAAATGACAAAAATCACGAACATTCACACTTCAGAATGGTTCGGTCAAAAAAGGTGCCATGCATTCTTTGAAGAACCTGAGGATGAATCAGTTCTTTTTGTTCCAAGGCAAGATGAATGTATAAACTCTGCTTTTACCAAACAACTTCCTGCTCTCACTTGGAGAAATTGACCCAGTACAATTTACAAGAGTAAATGAGTTGGTATGATTGCTGTTATGACATACTTTCCATTTCTTTTAAACAATTAGAACTTGACCAAAATAGTTATTACATGTATATATAAGTAACATTCTTCTTGTTACATCTATAGTGGTCTTTTTAAAAAGAGGAATATTAACTTCTAATAGATTCAGGATTACTCAAAACTATTATCCCAGCCACCCTCAAAGCAATAAACCTTCATGTTATATGCTGCTTCTAGCCAATGCTACAGAAGTAACCCTGACTGCACTCATTAACTGAAATGAATTGTAAGATGGTACAGCATACTCTCCACTGTATCACTTTTCTTCTAGAAACATTTCAAAATATTACTTAGAAATCCAATTACATCTGCTTACATCTACGCTTACATCTACACATATATTCACCTAAGTTTAATGAAAATAAAACCTAAAAAGTTGCCTATAATTTTTTAAGTAGTTCCTCTCCCTCTCTTGGGTAACTATTGTTGATAAACTTGGCCCCAAATCTTCTGTACATTTGAAACAACAGGCAAAGGTCCTTATTTCCCGTATGGGGCCTGTATTTGGATCTTAGGGTGTCTGACAGATAATTATAGACTAATCTGCATTCAATATTAATGCCAAGCCTATTGCTTAAACAGAGAACACATGCATTTATAAGATCTGGGCTACTTACTTGTAGATCCCTCTGCACTGTTCTTAGCCTTTCATGAATATGCTGTAGATTTTTAAATTACACGAGGCCCTTTGCAAGTAAAAATGACTTTTCCTGTTGTTTTGGTATCACTCCTCTTCCAGTGAAAACTGGACAGTCTATAAATATATACCAACTTTAAGACAATGTATTTTAATATCTATGGTATTAGAAAAGGAAATTTGTTAACAAATGCAATAATCAAGTTTACCAGCTGATACAAAGGTACTTACTTTCAAAAACTACAGCCTTACCTAAAAATAGTGTCCTAGTTTCCCAGCCAAAAGGACAGACTAAACAAGCTATGTCTTTATTCAGCTCAGAGACACAGACTTCTACCTCACCACAACCTTCAATACTATGGCATTTCCCATTTTAGAATACTTTGTGTAACAAGTTGTTTGGTGGCCAACCACTAACTTCACTTTGAAATGAATACTAACACTTCACATAGTCTACATGTGTGAGAACTGTGGAAAATGTCTTGACACAATTCAGGTCAAACAACATTAGCCACACAAGATTACCTACTTCGAAACAGTCCATTCTAGACTACAAATGAACATCTCCATAGGCAAAAAGCAGACCACCAGCTCCTTTCCACAGTTATCTGTAGGTTTCAAAAAAAAAAAGATAAAAAGTTCAAATTGAGAGGTCTAAGGCAGGAATATGCCTGCATCTGCAAAATGAAAATAAGTTTAAAAATCCATATTTGCTCTGCCAAAAATAAAAATTATATGAAGTAAACATAAGCACTGCTGTTTCAAACAGAAGAAAATGTGGTATATGCACTTACAAAAGAATCTATATCCATCTTCCTTTCCTTATTTTTTTAAGGCAAAATGTCAATGATATGCCTCAATCTAGAGAAAAAAAGCACAGTTTATTCTTCTTAAACAGATATTGTGACAGACATAAAAAATTTGTGAGAGGATTTCAAAATCCAGAAGCCCAGATGTGTGGGGGGGGGGTGAAAAAGCTACAGTAACTAATCAACTGACCATAATTACATTTTTCTAAAAAAAAAAAGAAAAAAACTTGGTAAAATATTTTAGGTTGAGAAAACTGCTTGTGAAAAACGTAAAAGTAGCAAACTTCTCTTCCTCTCTCTAGCAGAGAAAACTATTCACTAACACTGTATCAATAATATCCTTTAAGTCCAAAGCATTACAAATTAGATTAAATAAAGCACTTTGAATTCACATACCATGTGTGATCAGAACATAATGATAAACTAGTCTTATCCCTAATAAGCTAAACAGATCTCAACACCATCATCTTTATTTCAAAATAATTATTAAAGAGACAAATACTACTCCATTTTTCAGAAAATAAAAGCAGGAGTGATTGACCTGCCTAACTGTTTCCAATGGAAAGAGTGTACTTTACAAGAGTCCCACAAATCATGAATACACAAAATCCACATACACAATCACCAGGACTAAATGTACAGAAGGTGACAGACACCAAAACACAAATAAAATTAAGATACCCAATTAAAGTTATGCAAGAAAATTTGAATAGGAAAACTATAATTACCCCTGGTGAAGATAGATACTGATCAAGAATAGCTGCAAGTAACCTTTGGCTCTTAGTAAGTACCACTATGTTTGAGTATGTTAGAGCAACTGAAAAGATTGGTACATTCAACATATTTTTCCTTTCTAAATCTAGCCCTGCTCACAGACCCATTTGACTGAGTGATATATTTGGAAAACAAAGATGGCCCCACCAAATTACTCAGTTTCAGCCTTACTCTTGCGGATTGATTAAAATAAAGAAGGAAAAAAAGGAAATAACTTTTAACTGCAGTCTCACCTTACACATCTCACCAGCACTATAGTTCATTAGTGATCAATTACTTCATCCAATTCCTGAGGCAAACAGAAAAGATGTGTCTATACAACACCAGTAACAGACATTATCAGCAGCAAACATTTTATCAGCCTTAAGTGAAAGGGCATCTAAATTTGAAATGGAAAAAGTTACAAAAATGGTACAGTGTGTAGCTTTGCAAGTGAGTGTTTCTTTGACCTTATAACATTTCCTTTCAGTAAGATAAAAGAATAGATTATTCCATGCACTTAAAACTAAAAAACATAATAGTTATCTTTTTCAACCCGGACTGACCTTACTTTCAAAACCAGAAAGAAATGGAGAGGAAATTTTATTAATATGCCTTTAAGAAAGAGCTAAATTAAGAACAAACTAGGCAAGACAGACAACTCCTCCCTCCCCCCCCTCCAGGAATCCACTGTCTCTGAAGTTACACTTTATTATATTAATGATTTGCCTTAAAAGTGTAAGTTGTGAGGGAGAAGGAATGACAATTTTTGAACTGCAAACAAAACCTGAGGATCCTGATCTAAGAAGAATCACAGGAGCCTGACTTCCTGCCCTGTCTGAAGGATTCTCAGCAAAGGCTAGGGTGCAGAAGTCTCCAGTAATTTGGGGGAGAGGAATCAAAGTTCCCTAGGTAAGACTGCAGTCTCTGAGCCCTTGAAAAGGGTACTGGAGTACTCTCAAGGAATCTCCAGGAAAAGAGAGCCATCTTTATTTTTGTTGATGTACTTGTGCGCCAAAGAGCAATTCCGAGGAGGGGGCGGGGAAAGGGGGGAAGAAAGTGAATCTCGGGCCGAAAGCCCTCCGCGGGGGAGGGAGGGAGCGCACCCCTGACCCACTTTTTCCGAGGACCCCAGCTCTGGCCTCCGCCCCACCCGGTAGAAGTCCGAGCCCTGAGGTGGGCATCGAGCGGGGCGTGGGAGGCCCGCACGCTCCCCACCCCCAGCCGCGACCCAGAGGAGGGGAACGTGCAGGGAGGCTCGAGTCCCACTCCCAGAGTGCCCGGGCCGGAGAAACCTCCCGCAGGCTCCCGGGCCCGGCGTGCAAGGCCCCCTCCCCGGCCAGGGCCCAGGGGGCCGTGGCCCCCAGCGGAGGGGACTGGGACTGAGTAGGGGAAGAAGCTGTAAACAGCCCCAGCGTCCGGGCCTCGCCTCGAAGAGCCCCGCTTCCCCGGCCCACAGCCCGCCCCGGGCCCGCCGCGCCCCGGGACCGGGACACCGGAGGGTAGTCGGGTCCCCTCCCTGGAGGGCTCCGGGAGCTCGCGGAGCGGCCCCAGGAGCAGAGAAGGGGGACGTCAAGACTTAACTGTCATTACTTTCTACGCCATCTTGGATCCACTTGTCAACGTCCCCACAAAGCATTATGGGTAAGAAAGAGCCTTTAAAGGGACACCCCCACCCCCCCGCCCCCCCCGGCCGCCGACTCCCGACTCCCGACTCCGGGCGCCGGCGCCGCCCCCTCCGGCCGCGCCTCCCTCCCTGAAAGTTGCCCGGGGTGGCCCGCCGGCCCCGGCGCCCGCAGCCCGGCCCCCACCCTTCCCGCGGGCGGCCCGCATTGAAAATTCACCCGCATTTTTGAAAGGTGACTTTGGGGTTTTTTCTCTTTCTCCTGCCCCAGCCTCCCTGCCCCCACGCCCGGTCTTCTTGACCCGCTGCGCTCCTGCCCGGGCAGACGCCCCGCGTCTGCATTGAATCAGCCCGCGGTTTCCCTGCGGCTGGCGGCGCGGAGCAGCTCACGGATTTATTTGTGCGCGTGGATGTGAGCGTTTCTGCTCCTGCGGCCCCGCTTCCAGGAAGCCCGCGGGCAGCCGGGGTCGCCTTCAGGGCCCTGTAGACCAGCTCCGCACTCGCCGGCCGGAGAGGTGCCTCTGGCCCTGGGAAAGCGCCCCGGGGCCGTCGGGCTCCCGGAACTGGGAGGACGGCGCGTCCCCGAGTCCACCAGCGTCGAAGCACGATTTAAAAAAAAAAAGAATGAGCCAAATGCAACTTTTTACCCCTGGTTTACTCAGCCTTCAGCGGTCTCCTCCTCCCGGCGGGTAACGTGATCCGCGACCCTCTAGGTGGAGACCCCTCCCCTAGGAATGTGGCTCCGGGCTCCGGGGATCCCGCCTAGGAGCTTCGGGGCTGTGGACTGTGACTACGGGGCAGGTAATCGGGGACGTGGGCCCGGGGGGTGGCGCGGAAGCCGCCTGGGCTCGGGGGAGGGTCTTGGGCTGAGAGCAGGGAGCGCCTGTCCGGATCCACCTGGCGGGTCCCAGTCCAGCGGCAAACTCAGGCGACCCGGCCGGGGGAGAACCCCGGACGCCGCTCCAGCTCGAGAGGCGGGAGGTGGGGACGCCCGGCTTCTCCGGGCTGCGACTTGCAGCGTTGGAAAGTGCGAGTCTCCTCGGCGCGGGCCGGGGTTTCTGATTCGGGGGAGCACCCCTAGCCTGCCTTCCCCCTGCTGCAGGGCATCCTCTCCCCGCGACACCGAGCCAGCTTTCGGCTGCTCAGGGCGAGCAGAGAGAGCACTGGCCCCGGGCCCTGACCCGGTCGCCGCCGGTACCCTGGAGCCCCGGCGTCCAGCCGCCCCGGTCCCCCTTGCGAAGGAGATCCGTTGTCACCCTCCGCCCGAGTTCTTCCCAGAACCTCAGGTCCCTGATTTTTGCTGTCTTTGGAGGCCTGCTCCAGTTGCTTTTTTTTTTTCCCCCCCCAAGCAAGTTTTTACAACAAGGAGGTGTCCAAAAGAAAATCCTCCAGAACAGGAATGCTTGCTAATTGTATTCGGTGCAAAATGCTGTTGAACGGCTCTGCATTTAAAAGAACGCGCAGGCACCGGCTTTAAAATCTCCTTTCGGTGCACGGGGAGGGCCTGGGCCTTGGGTCTACCCGAGGGTTTTACGCTCCTCCAGACCCTATCAGCAGCCTCAGGAGGAACCTGGACAGTGGCAGACGGGAGCCCCGCCCCTGGGGAGCCAAAAACTCCACCAGGCAATTGTCCCGGTGTGATGAGAAGAGTGAGGTGTGGACACATTGAGGGACTGGCCCCGGGTCACTCTCGAGAGAGGGAACGAGGTAATGAGTCATTCCCAGCCAAGAATGCTGCGTTCTGGGGAGCAGCCTCCCCTGAGTCACCCGCTTCTCAGCTCAGAATGAGTGGAGAAACTGGAGACTGGAGCCAGGTTCTTAGACCACCCAGCTTTGGTAGCCACCAAGGGCACGGGCTAGGCTAGGGGGAGGCGGTGCCCCTCCTGCTGGAAAAATGGAATGCTTGGCCTATCTAAAGAAGGCTCCAACTTCTCTTTCCAGGAGCACCCCGGATGCTTCTTTTCCAATTCCTCCTTTGCACTTATTTAGCCACTGGTATGCACTGACTCAGTGGTTGTTCAGTTTGCATGACACCTTTCTGTGTGTAGTCTGAGGTTACTATTAGGTTAATGCAAAAGTAATGGCAAAAGCCACAATGACTTTTGCACCAACCTAATATAAGTAAAAGCAAGTCACTCTGAACACCTGACCTGTGTTACAAGTTCTCTTGTTTGTCTGTTAGTTGTTTCTCATCTGCCCCGCCCCTATTAGAGCATAGGCTCCATCAGGGCACAGGCCCTGTCTGGCTTATTTGCCTCAGTGACTAGACCAGGGCCTGGCACCTACATAGACACTCAGCAAGTTGTTAGTCGAATACATGACCAAACTGCTCTCAGGGATGGGCATGTTGATGAAAGGGAGTGCTAGAGCATGGAGCAAGATGCTGAGAGCCTTGCCTTACGTCTCTTCAGTCCACCCTGACCACACACAGTTAGAGGCAGGCAGATGGGAACAGTGCTGTGGGGAAAACAGGTCCCTTGGCCACCGTTGACTTGGCTCAATGCTGATTCAGATCTGATGAACACGCACGGCCCCAACTAATCCCTCTGCATCACATCCCTCTTCCTTCCCTCATTTTCTTATTTCTCCTCTACTCCCCACTAGCCATGGCTTCTTTTTTTTTTTTTTAAGACGGAGTCTTGCTCTGTTGCCCAGGCTGGAGTGCAATGGTGTGATCTCGGCTCACTGCAACCTCCACCTCCTGAGTTCAAGCAATTCTCCTTTCTCAGCCTCCTGAGTAGCTGGGATAATGGGCACCCACCACCACGCCCGGCTAATTTTTTGTAATTTTAGTAGAGACAGGGTTTCACCATCTTGGCCAGGCTGGTCTTGAACTCCTAACTTCATGATCCACCCACCTCAGTCTCCCAAAGTGCTGGGATAACAGGCATGGGCCGCCACACCCGGCCTTTTTTTTTTTTTTTTTTGAGACCGTGTCTCGCCCTGTTGCCCAGGCTGGAGTGCAGCAGCCCAATCTTGGCTCACTGCAACCTCTGTTTCCTGGGTTCAAGGGATTCTCCTGTCTCAGCCTACCAAGTAGCTGGCACCTCCATGCCCAGATAATTTTTGAATTTTTAGTAGAGACAGGATTTCACCATGTTGACCAGGCTGATCTCAAACTCCTGGCCTCAAGTGATCTACCCACCAAAGTACTGGGATAACAAGCTTAAGCCACTGCCCCCGGCCACAATGCCTTCATTTTCTGCTGCTTGGAGAGTCTCAAAGCTCAATTCTTGGGTCTTTGTTCTTCACCTTTACTACCTGATCATTTGTTTCAGTCTCAAGGTTTTAAATACCATGTTTACCCTGAGGAAGGAGTCCCCAACCTAGAGCTCAAATCCAGAGCCTTGCCCTGAGCTTCAGACTCTTATCAACATCTTGGCATCTCCACTTGGACATATTTTAGACATCTCAAAGTCAGCATGTGAAGAACTTAATTCTTTTTTTTTTTTTTTTTGAGATGAAGTCTTGCTCTGTCACCCAGGCTGGAGTGCAGTGGCACGATCTCGACTCACTGCAACCTCTCCCTCCCAGGTTCAAGCAATTCTCCTGCCTCAGCCCCCTGAGTAACGGACTACAGGCGCCCGCCAACACACCCGGCTAAATTTCATATTTTTAGTAGAGATGGGTTTCACCATGTTGGTCAGGCTGGTCTTGAACTCCTGACCTCGTGATCTGCCTGCCTTGGCCTCCCAAAGTGCTGGGATTACAGGCATAAGCCACTTCACCCACACCAAGAACTAAATTCTTCAGCTCCCCACACAAATAATGCTCCATCGTGGTCTTCCCCAGCTCCATCACTGGCAACCACATCCTTAAAATTGGCCAGGTTACAATCCCTCCTTTCTCTCAAATTCCACCTTCAATCCATCTGCAAATCCATCTATAATGTATCCATATCTGATCACTTCTTACCACCTCCATGTTTCCACTCTGGTCCAGTCCACCGTTCGCCCACATCCAGTCTCTTCTCAAGGTAACTGGGCCTGATAAACTGCAAAGCAAATCGCATCACACCTCTCAATACAATCTTCTGGCTTCTATTCATCTCGTTCAGAGGAAAAACTAGAGTCCTACACAGTCGGCCTCTTCTCATCTCTCTGACCTCATCTCCTACCTCTCTGCCTGCTCTGCCCTGCTTCAGCTGTAATGCATTCTTTTTTGAGGATCTGCATGGCTCACTCTGCTTTGCTCACGCCAGTAAGTCCCTCTCACCATTCTGTTTAAAATTACAGTATTCTTCAACACACACACAAATTCCATATTTCTTCTCATGCTTTACTTCTTTTCTCCGAAGCATTTATTGCCTTTGAACATATGTAGTTGATTCAGTTTCTTATCTGTCTCTCCTCATGTGACAGAGTCAGCTTGCCAGTTACCAAATACTCCTGTTTGCTGCTGGGAACTACATTTGCCAGATGTGCCCTGGCATTTGGCTGGGCCATGTGATTCTTGCCAATGGACATAGAGCAGAAATTGGACTCTGAATGAACACTCAGAAACTGGCTTGGCCAAAACACCTGCACTGGACTCTAAGTTGGGAAGACAATATATCTTTTTTTCCTTTTTTATAGACAGTTTCACTCTTTTTGCCTAGGCTGGAGTGCAGTGGCACAATCTCAGCTCACTGCAACCTGGACTCCCTGCAACCTCTGCCTCCCGGGTTCAAATGATTTGCCTGCCTCAGCCTCCCAAGTAGCTGGGACTACAGGCACCCACCACCACCCCTGACTAATTTTTGTATTATTAGTAGAGACAGAATTTCACCACATTGGTCAAGCTGGTCTGGAGCTCCTGACCTCAGGTGATCTGCCCGCCTCAGCCTCCAAAAGTGCTGGGATTAGAGACGTGAGCCACCACCCCTGGCCAATAGATCTTTAGGATGTTAATCCACATAGCATCTAGCACCTCAATTACAGCACCTTAGTTACTGTGGCCTACTAGAATGGAAGCTCAGTGAGGGCATGAATGGATGGATGTAGTGTTCATTAATGTCTCTGTCCTCAGTGCTTAGAACAAAGCTTGACATATTTTAAGTACTTAATAAATATTTGTTGAATGAGTAAGTGAACAAATGAATGAATGAATTCCCTTTTCTACCATGAATTCCAAAATAAGTGAATGGTTGGAAGGAAGAACACAAAGGAAAAGGATTAAATTGTTTTGGATTTTTTTTTTTGGTGAAAAGTAGAAACTGGATTTCTAAGAATCATTGACTGTAAGGCCTTGATAAAAATAGAATTGCACCTGTAATCCCAGCACTTTGAGGGGCTGAGGCTGGCAGATCACTTGAGGTCAGGAGTTCAAGACCAGCCTGGCCATCATGGCTAAACACCGTCTCGACCAAAAATACAAAAATTAGCCAGGCATGGTGGCAGGCACCTATAACCCCAGCTGCTCAGGAGGCTGAGGCAGGAGAACCACTTGAACATGGGAGGCGGAGGTTGCAGTGAGCCAAGATTGTGCCACTGCACTCTAGCCTGAACAACAGAGTGAGACTCCATCTCAAAAAAAAAAGTAAATGGAATCCCATTCTTTAAGTCTTGTTCTGCCCCATATTCACCTTTCCTTTTCTTTTTCTTCCTTCCACGTTCTACCACCTCCATCTCTATTCCACGCAAGTTCTCCTCACTCCTCCCTTCTTCTTCCCTTTCTCTGATGGGTTGTCTTCTGTTTTTCCTCCCACTTAATCTAACAAGAATTCATGGCTTATTAACTTCAGACACTTTGAATGCTTAGCCACGATTTCTGTTCCAAGTCATTTAAAATATACTACGGGGAGATAATATGGGTTTAAAAATATAGCAAATGTTGGCTGGGCGCAGTAGCTCACGCCTATAATTCCAGCACTTTGGGAGGCTGAGGCGGGCAGCTCATCTGAGGTCAGGAGTTTGAGACCAGGCTAACCATCATGGGGAAACCCCATCTCTACTAAAAATACAAAATTAGCCGGATGTGGTGGCAGGCACTCGTAATCCTAGCTACTCGGGAGGCTGAGGCAGGAATATCACATGAACCTGGGAGGCAGAGGTTGCAGTGAGCTGAGATCACGCCATTGCATTTCAGCCTAGGAAACAAGTGAAACTCTGTCTCAAAATATATCAATATATTATATATTATATATAAATATATATATTATAAATATATGTTATATATAAATTATATAATTAATATATATAAAACAAAATGTTAAATCCTTGGACTCTAACATTCCTCTTCTACTTTTAATTCCCCCCCCCTTTTTTTTTTTCTGAGACAAGAGTCTTGCTCTGTCACCCAGGCTGGAGTGCAGTAGAGCAATCTCGGCTCACTGCAACCTCTGCCTTCCAGGTTTAAGCGATTCTCCTGCCTCAGCCTCCCAAGTAGCTGGGATTACAGGCATCCACCACCACGCCCAACTAATTTTTTTTTTTTTGTATTTTTAGTAGAGATGGGGTTTCACCATGTTGGCCAGGCTCTTCTCAAACTCCTGACCTCGTGATCCACCTACCTCAGCTTTCCAAAGTGGTGGGATTACAGGCGTGAGCCACCGCGCCCAGCCTCGTCTTCTACTTTTAGGCCCACTTGGTTTCTACTTGAGATACAGAAAAGAAGTGATGGCGGACGGGATAATGCAAGCTAACCCCGCCATTGAGGACAGTGAAAACAAAATAGACACATTTTGAAGACATCTGCTTGAACACAGCTGGGTAAAAAGAGTGAAAAACTACCAAGAGTAGACAGAAAAGGAAGGTGATTCTGACATTTGGGGTCCTTTTGCCCTAGGGACATTTGCTTTTAACAGATCAGTTGAGCAAGTATCAGCAAACTATGTAAAGGGCCACATAGTAAACATTTTAAGACTTGAGAACAATACGTATTCTCTGTTCAGTAATGTTCTGTTTCTCTTTCTCTGTCTCTCTTTTGTTACTATCTTTTGGGTTTTTTTCCCCCAACTTTTTTTTTCAGATGGAGTCTAGCTCGGTTGCTCAGGCTGGAGTGCAGTGGTGCAATCTCGGCTCACTGCAGCTTCTGCCTCCTGGGTTCAAGCTATTCTCCTCCCTCAGCCTCCCAAGTAATGAATTACAAGCATGCACCACCACACCCAGCTAATTTTTTGTATTGTTAGTAGGGACGGGGTTTCACCAAGTTCAGGCTAATCTTGAACTCCTGACCTCAAGTGATTCACCCATCGTGGCCTCCCAAAGTACTGAGATTACAGGCATGAGCCACCACAGCCTGCCCCCAACTTTTTAAATATGTAAAAACATGGCCAGGCACAGAGAAAGAGAAACAGAACATTACTTAACAGAAAAGACATATTGTTTTCAAGGCTTAAAATGTTTACTATGTGGCCCTTTACATAGGGCCATGCCTATAATCCCAGCACTTTGGGACACCAAGGCAGGAGGATCGCTTGAGCCCAGGAATTCAAGATCAGCCTGGGTAACACAGTGAGACCCTGTCTCTACAAAAAAAAATTTAAAAACAAAAAAAATGAGGCCGGCCGCGGTGGCTCACGGCTGTAATCCCAGCACTTTGGGAGGCCGAGGCGGGTGGATCACAAGGTCGGGAGATCGAGACCATCCTGGTCAACATGGTGAAACCCTGTCTCTACTAAAAATACAAAAAAATTAGCTGGGCACGGTGGCGCGTGCCTGTAATCCCAGCCACTCAGGAGGCTGAGGCAGGAGAATTGCCTGAACCCAGGAGGCGGAGGTTGCCGTGAGCCGAGATCGCGCCATTGCACTCCAGCCTGGGTAACGAGCGAAACTCCGCTTCAAAAAAAAAAAAAAAAAAGGCTAGGTGTGGTGGCATGTGCCTACAGTCCCAACTACTCAGGAAGCCACAGTGCCCAAGGAGGTAAGGTACAAGATTGTAAATTTCAGCAAAAAAAAAAAAAAAAAAAAAATCCGGGAGGCAGAGGTTGCAGTGAGCCAAGATTGTGCCACTGCACTCCAGCCTGGGTAACAGAGAAACCCCATCTCTGCAAAAAAAAAAATTTTTAATTAAAAAAAAATTAACCAGGTATGGTGGCATGTGCCTATAGTCCCAACTACTCAGGAAGCTATAGTGCCCAAGGAGGTAAGATACAAGATTGGAAATTTTGCATGGGGAGAAATGCCAGATATAGGTGATGGGGAGGAAGGCAGCAAATCACACTACCATGTGTGTACCTATGCAACAATCTTGCATGTTCTTCACATGTACCCTAAAACCTAAAATGCAATTTAAAAAAATAAAATGTTGGCCAGGCATGGTGGCTCACGCCTGTAATCTCAGCAATTTGGGAGGCAAGTGGATCACCTGAGGTTGGGAGTTTGACCAGCCTGACCAACATGGAGAAAATTAAATTTATATAAATTTATACCCAGGGCTGGAGTAGGAGAGAGTGGGAAGTTGTTATTTAATGTGCGTAGTTTTAAGTTTGCAAGATGAAAAGCGTTCAGAGATCAGTTGCAAAACAGGTCAAATGTACTTTACTGACCTGTATACTTAAAAACTGTTAAGATGGGAATTTTTTTTTTTTTTTCTGAGACGGAGTCTTGCTTTGTCACCCCGGCTAAAGTGCAGTGGCACAATCTCAGCTCACTGCAACCTCCACCTCCCAGGTTCAAGTGATTCTCCTGACTCAGCCTACCGAGTAGCTAGGATTACAGGCACATGCCACCAAGCCCAGCTAATGTTTTGTATTTTTAGTAGAGATGGGGTTTCACCATGTTGACCAGGAGGGTCTTGATCTCCTGACATCGTGATCCGACCACCTCGGCCTCCCAAAGCGTGAGCCACTGCACCCAGCGGGAAATTTTTTATTATACATATTTTACCACAATTTACAAAATTAAAAAATTGAGACTGAGTACGGTGGCTCAAGCCTGTAATCCCAAAACTTTGGGAGGCCAAGGTGGGCAGATCATCTGGCATTAGGAGTTCAAAACCAGCCTGGCCAACATAGTGAAACCCCATCTCTACTAAAAATACAAAATACAAAAAAAAAATTAGCCAGGAGTGGTGGTGTGCACCTGTAATCCTAGCTACTCAGGAGGCTGAGGCAGAAGAATCCCTTGAACCTGGGAGGTAGAGGTTGCAGTGAGCCAAGATCATGTCACTGCACCCCAGCCAGGGAAACAGAGCGAGACTCCATTTTATGTGTGTGTGTCTCCAAAAAAAAAAAAAAAATTCAAAGACAAACCATTCAAAGACTGACCAAAATAAAGTAGGCTTTAGGGCAAACAGCATTACTAGAAATAAAGAAAGACACTGGATAACGTTAATATTCTCAGTTCACCAAGAAGATATAACAGTTCTAAGTTTGTGTGTCACTGATACACATAGCTTCAAAATATATAAAGCAAAAAATGGTCCGAATTGCAAGGAGCCAAATCTACAATTATAGTGGAAGTTATGTCTATCAGTAACTGTTAAAAGAAGCATATACAAAATTAGTAAGCAATAGATCTGAGCAACTGGGTAAGCAAACTTTAACCAAATGGACAGATCTAGAATAGTGCACTCACAACTGCAGATCCCAGATTCTTTTCAAGTATATATGGAATGTTTATGAAACGCTAGGCAATATAGCAAGTTCCAACAAATTTCCAGTGATGTAAATCATTCAGAGTACATTCTCAGACAGTGACACAATGAAGCCAAAAAAAAGAATTTTAAAAATTAAGTAGGAAATATCTACATGTTCCAAAACTATATATGTACTTGTAAATAACTCACGGATTAAAAAAAAAATCGCAATGGGAATCAAAGTATTTTAAACTGATAGTTCATAAAAATATTACATCCTCAAAATTGAGATGCAGCTAAAGCCATACTTCAATGGCAAGGGTTTTTTTTGTTTTTTTTTGAGACGGGGTTTCGCTCTTGTTACCCAGGCTGGAGTGCAGTGGTGCGATCTCGGCTCACCGCAACCTCTGCCTCCTGGGTTCAAGCAATTCTCCTGCCTCAGCCTCCCGAGTAGCTGGGACTACAGGCACACACCACCACGCCCAGCAAATTTTTGCATTTTTAGTAGAGACAAGGTTTCACCATGTTGACCAGGATGGTCTCGATCTCTTGACCTTGTGATCCACCTGCCTCAGCCTCCCAAAGTGCTGGGATTACAGGCGTGAGCCACTGCGCCCAGCAGCAATGGCAAGTTTTTAATTAAAGTATTTTTAATGCCAATATTAGAAAATAAGAGAGAATGAAATAAGAGTAAAGTCCTCTTGTTGAGAAATTAGAAAATTAAGCACAAAGAAAGTGCAAAGAAATGAAAACATAGGCAAAAGTTAATTCTTTGAGAGGCCCAATAAAATTAAGCCCATGGTAAATCTTTTGTTTTGTTTTGTTTTGTTTGTTTGGAGACAGAGTTTCACTCTGTTGCCCAGGCTGGAGTGCAGTAGTGTGGTCTGGCCTCACTGCAGCCTCTGCCTCCCAGGTTCAAGTGATTCTCATGCCTCAGCTTCCCAAATAGCTAAGATTACAGGAGCGTGCCACCATGCCCAGCTAATTTTTGGTGAAACCCCATGTCTACTAAAAATACAAAAAATTAGCCAGGTGTAGTGGTGCATGCCTGTGGTCCCAGCTACAGCAGAGGCTAAGGCACGAGTATTGCTTAAACCCGGGAAGCAGAGGTTGCAGTGAGCAGAGATCATACCTCTGAACTCCAACCTGGGCAACAGAGTGAGACCTTGTCTCCAAAACACCGGAAAGAAAGAAACCTGACCTCCACAAAGAACAATTAATTCCAGATGGGTCATAGATTTAAATGTGTAAGAAAAAACAACAAAGCTCCTCAAACAGTACAAACCAAGAGCAAATGAAAGTATTTGATGATATGTGCTTTAATACAGGCAACTGAGGGATTTTAAAATTTTTGTTTCATTTAAATTCATTTCTGTTTAAATAGCCACAAATGGCTACCATATTGAGTACCACAGAATTAGAAGATAATATTAAAATATCTTTGTGACCTAGGAAAGAATTATTAAACAGGACACAAAAATCAATAACCAAAAAGAATAAAAAAATTAATTTGACTACATTGAAATTAAGAAATTCTGTACACTACAAAACATTATTAAAAGAGTACAACTTCATGTCACAAGTGGAAAAGGATATTTACAGCACGTATAACAAAGGGTTTAGATCTGGAATATATAAAGGATTGTAACATATCAATAAAGAAAAAAAACCAGATAAATGCCATCAACAGGTAATTCAGCAGAAAAGTTATCCAAATGACCAATAAGGGTGTTGGAAAGTGCTCAACCTCACTCATAAGCAAATACAAATACAAATTAAAATCATGAGATAGCAGCACAACCCAGCAGAAGGGCTAAAATTTAAAAGGCTGACAATACAGAGAAGTGGTAAGGATGTAGAGCAATGGAATCCGAAATACAGCTGAGTCAGTTTAAACTGGTATAACCGGCCAGGTGCATGGCTCACACGTGTAATCCCAGCACTTTGGACGACCGAGGCAGGCAGATCTCCTGAGTTCAGGAGTTCAACACCAGCCTGGCCAACATAGCGAAACCCATCTCTACTAAAAAAAAAAATAGGCAGGCATGGTGGTGTGTGCCTATAATCCCAGTTACTGGAGGGGCTGAGGCTAGAGAATTGCTTGAACCTGGGAGGCGGAGATTGCAATGAGCCGAGATTGCACCACTGCACTCTAGCCTGAGCAACTGAGCGAGACTCTGAAAAAAAAAAAAAAAAAAAAAAAAAAAATTGGTATAACCACTTTGGAAAACTGTTTGCCAGTATCTGTTGATGTTGAATATCCTCTATAACCCAGCAATTTCACTCCAGGAATTATGTGAACTTGTGTCTCAAAAGACATGAGTATTTGTATTAGAATATGGGTGTTCGTAGCAGTATGAATCGTAGTAGACAAAAGTTGGAGGCAGACCCAGATGTACTTCAGCAGTGGAATAAGCAAACCTCCACATTCATACCATGAATTACCCCACAGCAGGCAAGGAGTGGTGGCTCCTGCCTGTAATCCCAGCACTTTGAGAGGCCTAGACAGTCAGATCACTTGAGGCCAGGGGTTCAAGCCCAGCATGGCCAACATAGCAAAACCCCATCTCTACTAAAAAATACCAAAATTAGCAGGGTATTTTTTGGTGGAATACACACCTGTAATTCCAGCTACTTAGGAGGCTGATGGAGGAGAATTGCTTGAACCCGGGAGGTGGAGGCTGCAGTGATCTGAGATTGTTCCACTGCACTCCAGCCTGGACAACAGAACGAGACCCCATCTCAAAAAAAAAGGGCTAACAAACTTAACTACAGCATTGACAGACACATGCTTAGCAAGGAGACAACTGCCGTAAAATTTAGGACCGTGGTTGCCTCCAAAAGGAGATAGGAAGCATGAGTGAGGGTCCGAGTGAGGGTCCGATGGTACATTTCTTGACCTGATGTTTTGTGACATGGCTCTTTGCTGTGTGATAAAGTAATGAGGTATCTCTGTTTCATACACTTTTCTGTAGTATGTCATATTTCACAATAAGGAAAGGCTAAAGGAAGGCCAGGTGTGGTGGCTCACGCCTGTAATCCCAACACATTGGGAGACTGAGGCAGGTGGATTATTTGAGGTCAGGAGTACAAGACCTGCCTGGCCAAGATGGTGAAACCCCGTTTCTACTAAAAATACAAAAACTGAATGGGCATGGTGGCACACGCCTGTATTCCCAGCTACTCGGGAGGCTGAGGTAGGAGAATCGCTTGAACCTGGGCGGCAGAGGTTGCAGTGAGCCAAGATCGTGCCACTGCACTCCAGCCTGGGCGACAGCAACACTCCATCTCAAAAAAATAAAATAAAATTTTAAAAATAAAAATGTGAAACACAGTGGGTATGTTTAACAAAGAAGCTGCTCTATATTTGTCTCCTTCCTAATGAAATCAGGACCCTTTCTCAAAGGAAGTAAGAAGTTTGCAGCGTTTCTGGCCTCCCCAGACGTATCAAGTGGCTGCTTCTGGCTTCTCAGTACACTTTCAATCCACCACTTTTCTTTCTCTCTCCTAGTCAGATGTGCTCTGTGTGTGTGTATGTGTGTACATGTGAGTGAGCGTGTGTGTGAATGTGTCCGAGAGAGCATGAGTGTGTCAATGTTTGCATGTATGTGTGAGCATGTGTTTGTGTGTGGATGAGTGTGTGTAAATGTTTACATCTCTGTGAAGATGTATGAGTGTGTGCAAACATGCATATGTGTGGATGAGTGTGTTTACATCTGTGTGTTAATGTGTATGTATTGTGTGTGAATGTGCATGTGTGTGTGAATGTAGGTGTGAATGCGAGTGTGAATGTATGTGTGTGTGACTGGATGAGTGTGTGTGCGTTTACATCTTTGTGTTATGTGAACGTGCATGTGTGTGTGACGTGTGGGAATGGGTGTGAATGTGTGTAGGAGTGTGTTTGAGTGTGTTTATGTGTGTGACCGTGTATGTGTTGTGTGTGAACGTAGGTGTGAATGTGAGTGCGTGAGTGAATGTATATGGATGTGTGTGTGGAGTGTGTTTACATCTGTGTGTGAACGTGTATGTGTTGTGTGAATGTGAGTGAATGTGATGTATGAGTGTGTGCATGTTTATATTTGTGTGTGTATGTGAATGTGTGTGTGTGTGTGTGTTTATATGCACACCCGCCTGCGTGGCTCAGCCTCTGCCCTGGCCCTCTGGCCGCTGCATCCTCTCCCACGGTGCATCGTCTGCTGACTCTGTAGCCCTGCAGGCCTTCCTCGAACAGTCCATGACAGGAAGCCAGGCTTCCTGGGGTCCTGAGTCAGCAGAGCAGGAAGGAAACAAAGGCCTCAGAACCGCAGAAGAGAAAAAAGGAGCCTGAAGACAGAAGGCGGCCCTCTGAAGACAGGGCTAGAGACCACGTATGTTCTTGGAGTCCCCTTGCCTGAAAGTGAAGCGCAAACCCTGAGTCACACTCTATCATCTGACCTGTCTGACCTCAGCCTTTCTCTGCTGCAGTTTCTTTGCCTGTGAAATAGGGAATGGCCTTCCCAGGGATTGAGGGATCACAGGCTTCTCAAACTGCGACTTGGATAGGGTAAGTCTACCGAAGATTACCTCTTATTACTTCAACAGTTTTAAAATGGAATGTTAAAATACCCACTTGTTTTCTTCCTGCCGTTTATATTCCATGTTTCAACTGGGAGAGAGAAAAAAAGGAAAGAAGAGGCCGGGTGCGGTGGCTCACACCTGTAATCCCAGCACTTTGGGAGGCCAAGGCAGGTGGATCACAAGGTCATGAGTTTGAGACCAGCCTGGCCAATATGGTGAAACCCTGTCTCTACTAAAAATATTTTTAAAATTAGCCGGGCATGGTGGCACGTGCCTGTAATCCTAGCTACTCAGTAGGCTGAGGCAGGAGACTTGCTTGAACCCAAGAGGCGGAGATTGCAGTGAGCCAAGATTGTACCACTGCACTGCAGCCTGGGCGAAAGAGCAAGACAAAAACAAAAAGGGGAGGGAAGGAAAAAGAGTGAATGATGAAGATTTTGACTAAGAACCAGGTTTAAAAAAAAAAAAAAAGTGGCTGGGCACAGTGGCTCACATCTGTAATCTCAGCACTTTGGGAGGCCGAGGCAGGTGGATCAGGAAGTCAGGAGTTCAAGACCAGCCTGACCAATATGGTGAAACCCCATCTCTACTAAAAATACAAAAATTAGCCGATAGTAGTGGTGCATGCCTGCAGTCCCAGCCATTCAGGAGGCTGAGGCAAGAAAATCGCTTGAACCCAGGAAGCGGAGGATGCAGTGAGCTAAAATCCCGCCACTGCACTCCAACCAGAGCGAGCCTCCATCTCAAAAAAAAAAAAAAAAGTATCCCTTAGCGTCTTTCTTCTTACAAAACAAAGTGTGTTTTAATTACAAGTCAAATTTCACTTTGAAGGAAGAAAATAGCCCTTAGGCATTTTCTGTTCTAGTTAATTTAACTTTAATCTTTGTCTCCAGCAGGTATCTCTTCAGTAGAAAAATTCAATGAGGTTTCTCTCACCTTCTACCTATGGGCCAGTTACATACAGAAGAGAAAACTAAAACTGAAAACTGATTTGTGATTTTTACAAAAAGTCGCTGAGAAGGAGAATTCCCAGTACAGAGTATGTAATGCTTTTGTGGCATTTCTGATGCTGTAGGGTTAATCCAGTATGAAGAAAGTGACGAAGAGCAGGATGGATTTTTATGGATTCCACATTATATCCAAGTACTTGGCAACCTGCCCTCTCGTATGTTACTAAACAAAAATGTGTTGCTTTCAGTGTGTTTTTAATAGGCCGAGCAGTTTGTTTGATCACGGTGCTCGGGTCCACACTCAGAGACACTAAAACATTCTCATTGCTTTAGTGAATATCTCGGTCTCCTGTTTGTACACAAAAGAACCATTTGAGAGCTCAGGGAGTCATGTCCTGGGAGTGACTACAGGTCTCAGACCTCAGTCCCACTGTCTCAGCCTAAACCATTCAAAGGGACTCAGAGACAGATTTGCAAAATATTTTGCAAAACTTGCAAAAACCCCACCAGTTTTAGATTTTGAAATTATTGGCACAGGCAAGTGTCTACAATCATGAAATTCTCATGATTGGGGTGGAACATATTTCTATAAACAAAGCAAACTCCAGTCTCTCCAGCCTACTCCAGAAATATCTGTACCTGGCTGGGTGCAGTGGCTCACGTGGAGGCCGAGGCGGGCAGATCACCTGAAGTCAGGAGATTGAGACCAGCCTGGCCAACATCGTGAAACCACCTCTCTACTAAAAATACAAAAATTGGCTGGGCAAAGTGGCTCATGCCTGTAATCCCAAAACTTTGGGAGGCTGAGGTGGGTGGATCACCTGAGGTCAGGAGTTTGAGACCAGCCTAGTCAATGTGGCAAAAACCCATGTCTACTAAAAATACAAAATTGGCCAGGCACAGTGGCTCACACCTGTAATCCCAGCACTTTGGGAGGCTGACTCGGGTGGATCACCTGAGATTGGGAGTTTGAGACCAGCCTGACCAACATGGAGAAACCCTGTCTCTACTAAAAATACAGAAATTAGCTGGGCATGGTAGCACATACCTGTAATCCCAACTACTCAGGAAGCTGAGGCAGGAGAATTGCTTAAACCTGGGAGACGGAGGTTACAGTGAGCCGAAATTGCCCCATTGCACTCCAACCTGAGCAACAAGAGTGAAACTCCGTCTCAAAAAAAAAAAATACAGAAATCAGCTGGGTATGGTGGTATGCACCTGTAATCCCAGCTACTTGGGAGGCTGAAGCATAAGAATAGTTTAAAACGCGGAAGCAGAAGTTGCAGTGAGCCAAGGTCATGCCACTGTACTCCATCATCCTGGGCAAAAGAGCAAGTCTTTAAAAAAAAAAAAAAAAAAAGGAAAAAGAAAAAAAAAATTTATACCCAAAGAAAAGGGTCCCTTCCAGCTCAAGGATGCTTTAATGTCAACTTTGTTTTTTAACTATAAATGAAGTGCTTTGAGCAAACCTCAGAGCCTTCAAGTGCATATTTTACCCTAACTCATCTCTTTGCCCCACAAGCCTGAACAAAAGGCAAAAATATCCCTTATGATTCTCCTCACAAGAAGGGAACCAAGTGTTTACTGGATGCAAGGCAGTTTGTTTAAGGAGCCTAAAAAAAAAAAACATGGCCAGGCACAGTGGCTCACGCATGTAATCCCAGCTCTCTGAGAGGCCAAGGTGGACAGATCACTTGAGGTCAGGAATTGAAGACCAGCCTGGCCAACATGATGAAACCCTGTCTCTACTAAAGATACAAAAATTAGCTGGGTGTGGTGGCATGCGCCTGTAATCCTAGCTACTCGAGAGGCTGAGGCATGAGAATCGCTTGAATCCTGGAGGTGGAGGTTGCAGTGAGCTGAGATCATGCCACTACACTCCAGTCTGGGTGACGAAATGAGACTCCATCTCAAAATAAATAAATCAATCAATCAAAGATGCAGCCATGATAAAGAACAAGATCACGACCTTTGCCGGGACATGGATGGAGGTAGAGGCCATTATCTTTAGCAAACTAACGCAAACAGAAAACCAAGTACCGCATGTTGTCACACACGAGTGGGAGCTATATGAGAACACACACAGAGGGGAACAGCACACACTGGAGCCTTTTGGAGGCTGAAGGGTGGGAGGAAGGAGAGGATCAGGAAAAGTAACTAGTGGCCGGGTGAGGTGGCTCACACCTATAATCCCAGCACTTTAGGAGGCCAAGGCGGACGGATCACCTGAGGTCAGCAGTTCGAGACCAGCCTGACCAACATGGAGAAACCCTGTCTCTGCTAACGATAAAAAATTAGCTGGGCATGGTGGTGCATGCTTGTAATCCCAGCTACTCGGGAGGCTGAGCCATGAGAATCACTTGAACCCAGGAGGTGGAGGTTGTGGTAAGCCAAGATCACGCCACTGCACTCCAGCCTGGGCAACAAGTGAAACTATGTCTCAAAAAAAAAAAAAAAAGAAAATCTGTTGACTCAAAAGCCTGGTAAGCAGCTTTCCCTGTTTTCACCAAACCTCACCTTCCATAGTCTTGACCACAGGTAAATATCCCTTATGAGTCACATCACAAGAAAAGAGCCAACTGTTTATTGCATGTAAGGCAGTTTTTTAAAGAAATCCTTTAAAAAATCTGTTGACTCCAAAGCCTTGTGACCAGCTTTCACAGTATTCACCAGACCTCATCAGAGCCACAACAATAAACCTTCCCATAATAGTCAACTCTGGTGTCCCAGAAGACAGCGGCAGAGCTATGGGTTGATTTATCAGGTGTTATAACATTCCTACTTGCACACAATTGGATTTCTTTTCAATACAGCCTAACTTTTTTTTCTGGCCCTTGTACCACGTTCGCTTGCCTGGTTTAGTTATCTAAAGGCTTTAGGTGAAGTCAGGAGAGTTTCCAACACTACAAATATGATTGGAAGTGCTGCTGGTTCTTTATACAAAATAAAGCTGTCGTCACCGGAATTCTTAGAAAGTGAAGGGCCGCAGTCTCAGGGACCTAAAAGCCACCATCAAGCAGGACAGAGCAGGGCTGAACTTGAGCCTCCTGTTACTCCTTGGGTCCTCTGTTTCTTTCTACCTTATCGCTTTCTTTTTTTGAGACAGTGTCTCCCTCTGTCAGCCAGGCTGGAGTGCAATGGCATGACCTCAGCTCACTGCAACCCCCACCTCCCGGGTTCAAGCAATTCTCCTGCCTTAGCCTCCCAAGTAGCTGGGACTGCAGGGGTGCACCACCAATTTTTGAATTTTTATTATACACAGGGTTTCACCATGTTGGCCAGGCTAGTCTCAAACTCCTGACCTCAGGTTATCTGCCCACCTTGGCCTCTCAAAGTGCTGGGATTATAGGTGTGAGCCACCTTGCCCAGCCACTAGTTACTCTTCCCGATCCTCTCCTTCCTCTCATCCTTCACGCTCCAAAAGGCTCCAGCGTGTGCTGTTCCCCTCTGTGTGTTCTCATGTAGTGAGCCATCTTGCCTGGCCACTTTCCTCCTTGTCTCTTATCCTTGTTTTCCTTCTCTTCCCTTTCTCCCTATTCAGCTACAGTCTTTTTTTTTTTTTTTTTTTTTTTAGTGAGACAATGTCTCACTCTGTTGCCCAGGCTGAGATGCAGTGGTGTGATCACAGCTTACTGCACCCTCCACCTCCCAGTCTCAAGCAATCCTCCTGCCTCAGCCTCCCAAGTAGCTGGGACTACAGAATCCCTGGTTGATTTTTTCATTTTTTATAGAGACAGGGTTTTGCCATGTTTCCCCGCCTATTCTTGAACTCCTGGGCTCAAGCAATCCTCCCATCTCAGCCTCCTAAAATGCCTGGATTATGGGCGTGGATCACCTCACCCAGCTCATCTAAAGTGTTAATCACTTAGTGAATTACAGCTCTTACCCAGAACTCTCATCTGTCTTTCGTTCCTACCTTCCAGGGCATCTTAAGGTTGTTCCCATTTTCTTCTCCTCTTTGAAAACATCTCCTGTCTCTGCTTACATGTCCTAGACTACCCACCTCCAAATCTAATATCCTTTATGCCACCAGGTGATCCCAATACTGTCACTTCAGTCATAACTGAAATATTTTTCTTACTGATTCATCTCATCTTGCATTGGTGCACAGGTTTGTTGCACACCCCAATATCCATTCTCTCTCTCCTTGATTTTCAGATGGAACATGGCTGCTCAAGCAATTCACAGCCTCTCTTGCAGTGAGAAATTGTCCTGGAACAGGCTGGGCATGGTGGCTCTAGCACTTTGGGAGGCCACGATAGGTGGATCACCGGAGGTCAGGAGTTCGAGACCAGCCTAACCAACATGGAGAAACCCCATCTCTACTAAAAATACAAAATTAGCCGGACATGGTGGCACATACCTGTCATCCCAGCTACTCGGGAGGCTGAGGCAGGAGAATCGCTTGAACCCGGGAGGCAGAGGTTGCAGTGAGCTGAGATGGGGCCATTGCACTCCAACCTAGGCAACAAGAGCAAAACTCCATCTCAAAAGAAAAGAAAAAAAGAAATTGTTCTGGAACAAAGAGTTGCAACCAAAACCATTGTGTGCATTGTCCAGAAAATGTCCTTTAAAAAGGGTTATGGGCACTGTCTTTTACTCCTTCCTATTTCCTACTGGGTAGAATATGCATGTGCAGTCTGAAGCTTGAGCAGCCAGCTTGGATTGTGAGGCTGTGTGCTAAGCACATCAGAACATTAAAACTAGACGTGTTGGCCTGGCGTGGTGGCTCACACCTGTAATGCCAGCACTTTGGGAGACCAAGGCAGATAGATCACCTGAGGTCAGGAGTTTGAGAACAGCCTGGCCAACATGGTGAAACCCTGTCTTTACTAAAAATACAAAAATTAGCTGGGCATGGTATTGTGCACCTGTAGTCCCAGCTATTCGGGAGGCTGAGGCAGGAGAATGACTTGAACCAGGGAGATGGAGGTTGCAGTGAGCAGAGATGCAGTCTGGCCAACAAGAGTGAAACTCTATCTCAAAAAAAAAAAAAAAAAAAAAACAAAACTAGAGGTCTCGGGCACAGTGGCACATGCCTATAATCCCAGCACTTTGGGAGGCTGAGATGGGCAGATCACTTGAGGCCAGGTGTTCAAGACCAGCCTGGCCAACATGATGAAACCCCATCTCTACTAAAAAAAAATTTTTTTTAATACAAAAAATTAGCCAAGTGTGTTGGCACACACCTGTAATGCCAGCTACTGGGGGGCAAAGGTGGGAGGATCACTTGAGCCTGGGAAGTGGAGGTTATATTGAGCCAAGATCACACCACTGCACTCCAGCCCCAGCAATAGAGCGCAAATCTGTCTCAAAAAACAAGAAAACTAGAGGCGTCTTGAGTCTCTGATGATTAGGTAACTCCATACTAGCCCTAGAATGACCATGCGAATTCTGTTATTTGAGTGAGAAACTAAACTCCTATCACTTTTAAGCCCTCCCTTCCCCCTGCCTTTTTTTTTTTGCCAATCAGTTTGAGCTTATGAGGTTGCTCAGGTTAGCCTTGAACTCATGACCTTGCCTTCACAAGCACCACGACCTCCGGTGGGAGCCACTTTGGCCCCCCCCCCGCCTTTTTTTGAGATAGTGCCTTGCTCTGTTGCCCAGGCTGGAGTGCAGTGGCACAGTCTCAGTTCACTGCAACCTCCACCTCCTGGGTTCGAATGATTCTCCTGCCTCAACATCCCAAGTAGCTGGGACTACAGGCACCTGCCACCATGCCCAGCTAATTTTTTGTATTTTTAGTAGAGTTGGGGTTTCACCATGTTGGCCAGGCTGGTCTTGAACTCCTGACCTTGTGATCTGCCAGCCTCAGCCTCTCAAACTGCTGGGATTACAGGCATGAGCCACCGTGCCTGGCCTCCCCACTATTAATTTTTTAAATATGTGTAGCCAGATGTACATTCTAACATATGGAATGTATAAAGTTGACTTGCATATAAATCTAATTCACCTAGGTCCATCCCAAAGTCATCAGGCCCAGGGTGGGCCTTGGAGAGAGAACAGATAGAGTAGGGAATTCTACTGGCTCAAAACCCTTCCGACCAGTTTTCACAGGCTGACCAGATTCCCTTAGTGCTACAGAAAACATTTCATAATAGCTTTAGTGTCCAGAGGCAGAAGATACTGTAATATTTTGTAACATTTTTTGCATAATTGTACTGTTCTTGGAAGAATAGTGGAGGGAGTTCCCATACAACCTTCACCCACATTCCCCAAATGTTAATATTTTTATCACATTTGCTTTATCATTCTCACTATATTTTTTTCTGAAACATTTGAGAGTAAGTTGCAGACATACCACCGCTTTACCTCCAAACACTTTTTTTTTCTTGAGATAGGGTCTTGCTCTGTTGCCCAGGCTTGAGTGCAGTGGTATGATCATGGCTCACTGCAGCCTCAACCTCCTGGGCTCCAGCAATTTTCCCACCTCAGCCTCCCAAGAAGCTGGGAGTACAGGCGGGTGCAACCACGCCCAGATAAGTTTTGTTTTTTGTTTTTGGGGGTTCTTTTTGCATAGAAGAACTCTCACTATGTTGCCCTGGCTAGTCTCGAACTCCTGAGCTCTCAAACTCCGGCCTTGGCCTCCCAAAGCAGTGGGTTTATAGGCATGAGCCACCACATGCAGCCTCTAAACACTAAACAAGGAATTTTGTGGGAACATAACCACAGTAAGATGATTAAAATCAGAAAATTCACCTTCATACAACACTATTTGCTAACCTGTAGACTTCTTTCAGATTTTGCCAATTACCCCAATCATGTTCTTTTTAAAAAATTTCAAACCACATGTTGCATTCTGTGGTCATGTCTTTTTGGTCCTCTTCAACTTGGAAAGATTTCTCAGGCTGGCCCTGACTTTCACAGCCTTGACTTTATATATATATATATATATATATATATATATAATTTTTTTTTAAATTGCATTTTAGGACATTTTTGAGGAGTTGGTTGTTCTTCAGAATGTCCCTCAGTTTTGGAACATCTGTTGCTTTTCTCAGGACTAGATTCCATTTGTGCGTTTGGGACAGGAATACACTGGAAGTAATGCTGTTCTCTTCTCATGGCATCACAGCAGGAGACCTGTGATGTCAGTGTGTCCTGATATGCAGGATGTTAATTTTGATCATTGGTTAAGATGGTGTCTACCAGCTGCCTTCAAAGCAAAGTTAATATTTTTTCTTTGTAAAATAAGTATTACGTACCTGGGTACATGGCTCATGCCTGTAATCCCAACACTTTGGGAGGATAAGGCAGGAGGATTACCTGAGGTCAGGAGTCAAGACCAGCCTGACCAACACGGTGAAACAACCCCATGTCTACTGAAAAAAATACAAAAATTAGGCCGGGTGGCTCATGCCTGTAATCCCAGCACTTTGGGAGGCCAAGGTGGGCAGATCACCTGAGGTCAGGAGTTCCAGACCAGCCTGACCAACATGGAGAAACCCTATCTCTATTACAAATATGAAATTAGTGAGACATGGTGGTGCATACCTATAATCCCAGCTACTCAGGAGGCTGAGACAGGAGAATTGCTTGAACCCTTGAGGCAGAGGTTCTGGTGAGCTGAGATAGCACCACTGCACTGCAGCCTAGGCAACAAGAGTGAAATTTCATATAAAACACACACACACAAATCAAAATTAGCCTGGCAGCCAGGTTACATAGCTCACACCTGTAATTCCAGCACTTTGGGAGACTGAGGTAGGCTCATCATGAGATCACGAGTTCAAGACCAGCCTGGCCAGCATGGTGAAACCCCCTCCCTACTAAAGATACAAAATATTTGCTAGATATGGTGGCACATGCCTGTAATCCCAGCTACTTGGGCAGCTGAGGCAGGAGAATCACTTAAACCCAGGAGGCGGAGGTTGCAGTGAGCTGAGATCACGCCATTGGACTCCAGCCTGGGCGACAGGGTGAGACTCTGTCTCAAAAAAAAAAAAAAAAAAAAAAAAAAAAAGCCTAAGCCTGGTGCCTGTCCCCAGCTACTCAGGAGGCTGAAGTGGGAGAATCCTTTGAACCCAGGAGGCAGAAGTTGCAGTGAGCAGATTGCACCATTGCACTCCAGCCTGGGAGACAAGAGTGAAAATCCATTAAAAAAAAAAAAAAAAAAGAATAAGTGTGAAACACTTTGAGACTGTAAATAAGTGTGTAATCCTCCAACTTTCACCCAAACCTTTTAGCATTCCTTGATGATTCTTGCATGAATCATTTATGATGATGATTGGCCAATAGTGATATTATAACACTTTTATTTTCTTTTCCTTGGAAGATTGAAATTCAGAATGACATGAAAACAAACACTGTGAGAAAAAAAAAGAAAGAAAACAAAAATCCAGACACATGGTGTTTATTTCCATGAACAGGATATGAATAAAAATAATTTACCAATTAGGAAATCTCTTTTTGGCCAGGCGTGGTGGTTCCCGCTTATAATCCCAGCACTTTGGGAGGCTAAGGAGGGCAGATCTCCTGAGGTCGGGAGTTCGAGACCAGCCTGACCAACATGGAGAAATCCATCTCTCCTAAAAATACAAAATTAGCCAGGCATGGTGGCATGTTCCTATAATTCCAGCTACTCGGGAGGCTGAGGTAGGAGAATTGCTTGAACCCGGGAGGCGGTGGTTGTGGTGAGCTGAGATTGCGCCATTGCACTCCAGCCTGGGCAACAGCCAGACTCTGTCTCAAAAAAAAAAAAGAAAGAAATTTGTTTTTGAACACAAAGCATGTGTCAAGTTGTGCCAGACCTTAAGATTCGAAAGTAAATTAGTCCATGGCCTACCACTGTAAACACGCCTGATCTCAGAAATTAAGTAGGGTCAGGCCTGGTTAGTACTTGGATAGGAGGCTAACAGGGAATACCAAGTGCTGTAAGCTAAAAAAAAAAAGTAAATGAGATATCCGAGTTATCAGGGAGCACACTTGTTTAACAGAGGACACGTGAATAAACAACACAGTAAGGGCTACTTCTGGAACCAGGTTCCTTATATAGCAGGGTCTGGGGCTCTGCCGTGGAGTGGTGTAAGATGACACACTTTCTTTGTCTTGGAGCTATTTGCATACATTGAGAAAGATAAGTTGCTTTCTGGGAGGCAAAAACTTGAATCCTATATATTACTGATGTGTCTGAGGAACTTGGGTGCGCAGGCAAGAGCAAGATTGCAGGAAAGTACTATAGAAGCCTTAAAAAAGATCTCACTTTAAACAAAGAGTTGGTTGGGTGAGTCAACTACCCTGGCCTAAGACCCTCATAGCCCTGGCTTGGGGACGTCCCACCTGATATCATGTCAAACATGAAATATACCCACAGCTCATGTTATCTCATGTTATATTAATTGATGTGTGTATATATTAGTTTTATATAAGATGAGGGCTTTTTTTGTTTGGTTTGGGTTTTTTTTTTTGAGACAGAGTTTCACTCTTGTTGCCCAGGCTGGAGTGCAATGGCACAATCTCGGCCCATTTGTACTTTTAGTAGAGACAGGGCTTCTCCATGTTGGTCAGTCTGGTCTCGAACTCTTGATATCAGGTGATCCGCCCACCTCAGCCTCCCAAAGTGCTGGGATTACAGGCATGAACCACCAAGTCTGGCAAATTTGCCCATTTAAAGTGCACAACTCAATGGTCTTCAGTATAAAGAGTTGTGCAACCATCACTACAATCTAATTTTAGAACATTTCATCACTTCAGGAAGGCATTTTTATGCCCATTTAAAGTCACTCTCCATCCTTCCTCCAGCCCCTGGCGCCCCCAGTCTAACTTTTTGTCTCTATGGATTTGCCTTTTACGGACCTTGCATCTAAATGGAATTATACAATATGTGGTCTTTGAAGATTTCTTTCCACTTTGCCTAATGTTTTGAGGTTCATCCATGTTGTAGCATGTATCAGTACTCCATTTTTTTTTTTTTTTTGAGACAGAGTCTCTCTCTGTCTCCAGGCTTAAGTGCAATGGCGAGATCTCAGCTCACTGCAACCTCTTCCTCCTGGCTCACCCTCCCAAGTAGCGGGTATTATAGGCATGCGGCACCCCGCCCAGCTAATTTTTGTATTTTTAGTAGATACTGGGTTTCGCCATGTTGGCCAGGCTGGTCTTGAACTCCTGGCCTCAAGTGATCTGCCCGCCTTGGCCTCACAAAGTGCTGGGATTA